CTTGTGGAATTAATTTATGTGAAAAATGTGAATTCATGGGTTTACATGATACAGATCATCGTCGTACAAAAATAGTTAAATCAGAATGATTCCATTCAAATTTTGACTTGTGGACTTCTATTAAACAGCGAATATTTAAAATAATTTTATTCTTGACTTTCTATTTTTTACAGAGAATATTTTTTCTTCGTCAAAATTCAGCTTTTAGTCTAAAATTTATTTTAAAGGTTACATAGTAATAAAATACATGTTTCTTTTCTCAATATGTCATAAGACTGAATAACATCTTACTTTTTCAATTAATTAACTGAAGACTCTTTGATGGACAAATCGTTTTCGTGTTGGATGTTAGTGTGGATTTAGATAAAATGAATACCTACACCCTCAGTTTTATGATTTTCAATTTTCGGATATAGTGCATCTTGAATTTCTACTGCTTTTTTCGCTAATTCTTCGTCTTGTTCCAAACGCTCTAGTACATTCAAAGTTATTGTTCTGAAAATAACATATATATATGCCAACTTTTTCCACTCATTTAAAATCTAATAATTGATCCACGTCGTATTGATTAATGATGAGTCAAACTTGTCAAATAAGACGCATTTGTTTGATAAAATCAATTGTTATCATCAAAGGACATAACTGGTAATGTTGCAAGCAACTCCTAATTGAAGAACACGTACAGCTGCCTATATCAAGAAGAAAATAGTTAAATGAAAGTTTCATGCAGAATAACATATGATCTGTATATGCTTCTGAATGAGAACAATCCAATGTGGGACAATGAACTTCAAGTCGTTCGATTGAACTCTTTCGTTTCATGACAATAGCATTCAAAAAATGAAGATTAACTTCATTGTCATACTAAAAGGGAAGATACATTAATTTAGGAAAACATGTTTCAAAATTGTTAATTGAATCGAATTTTTGAAAGTTAAAAAGTTTCAATGTGATAATACTGATTGTTTTGTGTACGATGTGGTATTCAGACGTAACGAAACAATTTGTTCAGCATTGAATTTTCGAAGAATCATCTTAATAAATGCATCAGAAGATTGACAAATCTCTGCTTTTCTTTCATATTGATGTAGTGTAGGAAGAATATTAGTGGAAAATAGATTGATTGTATCATTTAATGTCAGATATTTCAGTAATTCAAAAACACAATATCCCAACAAAGACGAATCTTGGGAATGATGAGATCAAATGGCTGAAATGAAATGAAATGAATAACAAAAAAAAGCTTCTTCATAGTTTATTCAATTTCTGAGAAATGTTCTTGTTTGAAAATTCAATCAGATTGAATAAATAACTCAAACAAAAACTTACTAGAGTTCATTCATTGTCATCAAATTCTTCTTTGAATATAAGCAATTCATAGAGTACATTTTCTCGACTAGATTTCTCTAGAGTATGTACCAAAGTATCATCTTCCAACAATGTTTTGACCTGATATTCGGATATGGACGAATCATATTGTGTTTTCAACAACTAGTCGCATACTTCCGATGAGCATAGGATACTGTTTGTTTCATGTCAAAGCTGAGAGAGTGTGTAGGTGGGTGTGTGAGAATATTGATTTGTTCCACACCCGCATCCTTCGACAGCACGCATTTGTTGAAGAAGAGATAAATAGAGTGGGTGTGGGTTTGGGTATGAGTGTAGGTGTGGGTACGCGTGTGGACTGAAGTTTCATAAGCACCTTCACCCACACTCACACCACCCATCCACACCCCATATACACTCACACTCACACCCACACCATCCACTCACACACCCACACCCTCGAGAGATGATATATGAACTTGATTATTGACGCTTTGAATGATTAATTCTAGTAGTGGTTTAGGGTGGGTGTGGATGTAGCATGACTAAAACACCCACACTCACACCCTCAATGCGTTACTTATCAGGTGTCTTTGTTTATCTGAAATAACAAAGAAGAAAAGAATACCAGCTAGATAATGTTTGAAAAGATGCTGTTACTCATCTTTATCTCCCTTTTTTATCAGTTGCATAGTGTATATGTCGTTGATAACAGAGAATCTGAAGAGAACAGTGTTCGCTATAGTCTTATTTACACCTTTTTGCCTTCTTCATACGCAGAGACATTCCACATCTCGCACAAATCTCATCTCAGTTTTAATATGGCAGCAAAATATCCGAATAACCAAAAGAAATCTATTTCTGAGAGGTTCGTCGATGTGAAGGGTGTGAGTGTGGGTGTGGGTGTGGGTGTGGGAAGTGGTGGATGTGGGTGTAGGTGTGGGGTGCGGATATGAATGAGCGTAGAGGTGCACCAAACCCAAACCCAGTCAAACCCAAACTCTGGGTTTGACTATGTTTGAGTTTGGGTTTGATGTATATCACATAAAGATTAGATTTTCGTGGATATTTGTAAAACAAGCAAACAACACCCACGAATACCCTTAAGTCGAGAGCTGATATTATCAGTAGATAGAGCTCACCAAGTTGACTCCACGAATACCCACGAATATCCATGCTATTTGACAGTGAGTAGCCCTACTCGAGTTAGGTACATACCCAAAATTTCGGTCTTTTATGTGCTTGCATAAAGAAAATAGCAGGGATCGATCTTTTCAATTTTAAACCTAGTAATCGAATTCTGAATGTATGAGCGAAATTAAAGTATGAGGCTTAAAATTGAAAAGGTCGATCCCTGGTATTTTTTTATGAGAGCACATAAAAGGCTGAAATTTTGGGTATGTACCTAATTCGAGTAGGGCTACTCACTGTCAAATGATACAGGTGTTCGTTGATTAAAAAAAAATCAGTGTACATTGGAAAATTTTTTTATTGTTCAACCGTTTTGGGCGTTCGTGGAGTCAATCCAGCGAGCTCTATCTACTGATAATATCAGCTCTCGAGTTGGAGGTGTTCGCTTGTTTTACAAATATCCCCGAAAATCTAATCTCTACATGATACACATCAAACCCAAACCCAATAAAACCCAGTCAAGCCTAGGGTTTGAGTTTGACTGGGTGTGAGTGTGGATGTGAATAGATGTGGGGTGCGGATGTGGGTGCGCGTGTGGATTGTGAAGTCCCACAAGCATCTATACCCACGCCCATCTTCATATAATAGCCCATGGAAATCTATGGGTACCTCCATATAATAGTCCTTGCGGATCTATGGGTACCTTCATATAATAGCCCTTGAGGATCTATGGATACCTCTATAGTATAGCCCATGAGGACTTCCGGGTACGTCCATAGAATAACCCGTGAGTAGGGTGTGCGGATGGGTGTGGGCGTTACTTAAAAGTTCAATCCATTCAATTGGAAATAGCGGGATCCGACTTCTATCTTGTCGTATCCTGTGATCGGATCCGAACTCCATAGCCGAACTTCAATCAGCCGGATCTGGGCTTCGTAACCAGACCAGAAACTACAGTATACGGCTCGTATCCTGTCGCCGTCATAAGTCGCTGGAACCGTACTGAAAACAGGCATCCGTATCCGGCCATCGCTTTCGGACTCCAAAACTCACGGGAACTAAGCAGGAAACGGAGGCCAGAACCAATTTGGGAATACTGTCACCCTGAAATCGCTGAAAATTCACCTGATCAGGCGGTTTCCCGTCGTACGTCTTGGACCTGAGTGGTGTAGCATCAGCATGCGCAAAATAATAAATTGTCGAATCACTTATCTATGAGTGTCGTTTCGTTTGCCATCTATATTCACAATCAAACCCAATTCGTCACAAGATCATTCGTGGCACAAACAATTCTTTGCAATCACATGAGCCAATCAAAATTAATGTCTATATTTCAACGGTCAGACAACTCATTCGATTAAGTTTGACTCATGTAATTCAATGTCCATAAGAATTATGAGAAATACAACTAATGACTAAACTTTGATTTTTTGATTTCGGCATGTCGACTAGAAAGAATCCTAGCAAGAAAAAAAGTCGAATTTGTCTCCTCCATAATTAATATTAATAGGATGTCAAAAACCTTCGATTACAATGTATCATCAGAATTCTTCTTGAAATTCTATGAATCAATAGCTCAATTCGACTAGTTTTATATATATATATATATACAATGATTTGCAAAAAAGCTTGGAACAAATGTTTAGCTTGTATCAGGAACTAGTTCAACTTCTTTCAAGAAAAATATTTCTCTGTTAAAAGAATACCAGTTGACAGTTTTAGAACATCTGATTCGGGATTTTATTCCTCTTCCTTTTAATTCTAGAACTGCAAGATATCTGAGTTTTAGGATATCAATAAAATGGATTACAACTTTTTCAACATTAATAATTGAAACAACGGAATTATCGTGAAATTATGCTATTGAAAATAATAAAACTAAATCTTTCACAACAGTAATCGAGCGATTATTTAAGTAGCACTTAATTATTTCGTCAAAAGCATGGATCTGGTTTTAGGCATTATTCAGGATGAAGAATTCGTTTCTGATTATTTAATCCTCGGTATTTTAGAAGCCTTTAGGATCTAAGCCTTTCAAATCAGGAACTAATTCTATATAACAGTATCTTCATTGATTGATGGAGTTTTCTAACAAAGAAAATTCTCATGTTCTAATAATACAATGTAGACGTATCATTTGCTTCGAGACTATGTGCCATTGTTATCTCAGATTAGTATCGTACTAAAATAAATTAGAATCGAATCATATATATAGATATTATTTGTGGCTAATCTGCTTAGTATAGACCTGCAATAATTGCAAAACAAAGACTCGACAGAGTTTAGCAAGTATTACATGTTTATATAGTACGACTGTTCCACGTTTTTTTTGCTAACTATTGTTTATATGTATACAATAACACTCGATAGTCCCTAAAATAATAGAATTTGTATGTCAAACGCGAAGATTTGAAAATAGAAATTCGTTAAAATTTTTTGATGACTTCAATGCTACTATTCTTTATTGAGCGCTAAATTTTGTTAGTCTTTCCAAGGTATTTTCTCATTGTCAGAAATCTTGAACTGCAGCATAAATTTAAAAAAATGTGTATTTCTACTTCCACTACTATACGAAAACTCTCATCACTTGTATAGATCGAATAAACTAACTTCTTATCGGTAGAAGAAGGCTCTTATACTGTACCCAAACAAAAATCGAAGTTTAGTTATTAGTTATATTTCTAATAATATCTATGTTCATCGAATTACATTTGTCAAACTTAAATGAATAAGTTGCTTGATTGTTGAAAAATAGGTAATTACTAATTTTGATTGATTTATATTATTGTAACGGACTGTCTTTCAACGAATTGTACGTGCGACAATTTATCCTAGCATCATTTTGTAGAAAGTGAAAAATTGCGTCGGTATCTGTTATTAATCTTGACACCCACATTAAAATACAACAAAAACTATAGACATTACGATTATCATCCAAAACACTGAATACTTACAAAAGAAACCTATAGACCTCAAAATAAAGTAATCTTCGAAAAACTTTTTTTTCTGTCCAAGAAAAAAGAAAACTGAATTTACCAAAAGGTGTAGAACTTCAAACTCTGTCTTTCTATCATATTGAAAATGAAGACTAAGAGATGGCAGATTTACATTGAAATCTTTCGATATGCTTTAAATAACTCAGATTCCGTTAGATTATCAAATGTAGCGCCATAAAATTTTTATACAACCATAGAGAGATCATCTATTTTAATATTTTTTCGGAAATCATTTGCAGAATCTGAGAGATATTGATTTAACATAAGTAAACAAAAAGAAGTCTCTTCAATTGAAAAATTCCTAAGATAAGGATAGGCATGTGAATGTAACTGCGGGTGCAGATGTGTTGCTGCGATGTGCATGCGGACCCAATGGGTACTGCGTATCTTCCTCCCAGTGTTGCTAAGCTGACTACCACAGATGCACTGATATCCCACCTCACACCAACGGCCATATCCATACATACACTCGCACGCGCCCCATCGCAATAGCAACTTCCGATTTGCTAAATACAACTGGAATTTATAGCAACCCTCTTACAAACACTGCAACTCCGATTCAACTTCTCCATCTCAAGAAAGAAAACGATGAGGGTCCTCATCGAAACTAACATTTCAACAATTTTATTTTTTCAGAATAAAAGATAAAACTACTAAAATCTGTTTCTTAAATTTTCAATGTTTCTTTTCACAACTGCCAAATGAGGATCTGTAGAAGACACCGACTTTCTCAAAATCTCAAGTGATCTCTCGTAAAACGAAAGTGCTTTCGAGTACTCGCCCATGTGATAATACACCATACCGATGTTGTTGTAGGAAGTAGCCAAATCGGGATGATTCGGAGGGAGAGCTATTTTTCGGATTTCAAGTGATCTTTCGTACGATGAAAGTGCTTTCGAGTACTCGCCCATGTGAGAATACACCATAGCGATGTTGTTGTAGGAAGTAGCCAAGGAGGGATGATTCGGAGGGAGAACTATTTTGATGATTCCAAGTGATCTTTCGTACGATGAAAGTGCTTTTGAGTACTCGCCCATGTTATCATACACCATAGCGATGTTGTAGTAGGAAGTAGCCAAATCGGGATGATTCGGAGGAAGAACTATTTTTCGGATTTCAAGTGATCTTTCTAGCGATGAAAGTGCTTTCGAGTACTCGCCCATGTGATAATACACCATACCGATGTTGTTGTAGGAAGTAGCCAAATCGGGATGATTCGGAGGGAGAGCTATTTTTCGGATTTCAAGTGATCTTTCTAGCGACGAAAGTGCTTTCGAGTACTCGCCCATGTTATCATACACCCCTCCGATGTTGTTGTAGGAAGTAGCCAAGTCGGGATGATTTGGAGGGAGAGCTATTTTAGAGGTTTCAAGTGATCTTTCGTACGATGAAAGTGCTTTCGAGTACTCGCCCATGTCATCATACACTGAAGCGATGTTGTTGTAGGAAGCAGCCAAGGAGGGATGATTCGGAGGGAGAGCTATTTTGAGGATTTCAAGTGATCTTTCGTACGATGAAAGTGCTTTCGAGTACTCGCCCATGTGAGAATACACTATAGCCATGTTGTTGTAGGATTGAGCACAGTCAGGATGATTCGGAGGGAGAGCTATTTTTCGGATTTCAAATGATCTTTCGTACGATGAAAGTGCTTTCGAGTACTCGCCCATGTGAGAATACACCATACCGATGTTGTTGTGGGATTGAGCACAGTCAGGATGATTTGGAGGGAGAACTAATTTGAGGATTTCAAGTGATCTTTCTAGCGATGAAAGTGCTTTCGAGTACTCGCCCATGTGATAATACACCATACCGATGTTGTTGTAGGAAGTAGCCAAATCGGGATGATTTGGTGGGAGAGCTATTTTTCGGATTTCAAGAGATCTTTCGTACGATGAAAGTGCTTTCGAGTGCTCGCCCATGTTATCATACACCCCTCCGATGTTGTTGTAGGAAGTAGCCAAATCGGGATGATTCGGAGGAAGAGCTATTTTTCGGATTTCAAGTGATCTTTCGTACGATGAAAGTGCGTTCGAGTACTCGCCCATGTTATCATACACTGAAGCGATGTTGTTGTAGGATTGAGCAAGGTCAGGATGATTTGGAGGAAGAGCTATTTTTTGGATTTCAAGTGATCTTTCTAGCGATGAAAGTGCTTTCGAGTACTCGCCCATGTTATAATACACCATACCGATGTTGTTGTAGGAAGTAGCCAAGTCGGGATGATTTGGAGGGAGAGCTATTTTAGAGGTTTCAAGTGATCTTTCTAGCGATGAAAGTGCTTTCGAGTACTCGCCCATGTGAGAATACACCATACCGATGTTGTTGTAGGAAGTAGCCAAGTCGAAATGATTCAAAGGGAGAGCTATTTTGAGGATTTCAAGTGATCTTTCGTACGATGAAAGTGCTTTCGAGTACTCGCCCATGTTATCATACACTGAAGCGATGTTGTTGTAGGATTGAGCAAAGGCAGGATGATTCGGAGGGAGAACTATTTTTCGGATTTCAAGTGATCTTTCTAGCGATGAAAGCGCTTTTTGGTAGTCGCCTCGTTGGTCTTCGATGGCTCCTTGGCTATCCAGGGCATTCGCTCGCTCTTTATTCGTGGAAGATGTGGCTAGTAGGTGATCACAAATTTCCTGGGCTGTTTGGTGGTGGTGAAGCGTGAGCATCAAGTGAATCATGCGATTCCAGCCATTTCCGCTGTTTTCCTGCCGTATAGAGTGTGTGAGAAGAGATAGTTGTGGATCATCGTCGTTGGTGAGAATGAGTTGTACTTCGTATAGGTTGGAATTGTTGAGGATCTGTTTGATTTCGTTGACACGAAAAATCGTGTGCATAGAAAAGAGAATTTCCTCTTCATCTTGGAACGGACCCATCCGTTGAATGTTGGCGAAAGGAGTTGAAGAAATTGACGATCTAACAATCATTATGAAGAGAATCCCGACGAAGTTAGCTACTGATGCGTTACTTTCAGCATAAACGAAGGATGCATCGCGACTTCGGCTGGTGGATAAAAAGTTATTAAAGGATAGAAGACCACCCTTGGTTTTTTTCAGTTTGTCGAAGTCAGCTGTGGACAATCCTTGGCCGCGGTATACAGCAAAGTCAGTATGTCCTACTTTTTTAAACCGTTCTTTGTGTATTTGTTCGAGTTGGCAGTGAAGATCTCGAATAAAAAAACTCATTTTCTTCATTGTGAGAGTATCCAATGTTCGAAGTGACCAGTTAACCGTCTGGTAGATGAGAGGGGTACGAATGTACCATGAAATTGACTTCTCTGGACTATAATTGTTCTCGAAATCTTTGATAGTTTCTAATGTTGTCTTATTGTCGTTACATTTACCGCGCCAAAATTTAATAAAGTCTGTGATTTCTTCTTTGCTATGATCGATTTCAAGGACAATTTCTTTAAACAATTGTGTGTACATAAAGGAGGGTTCTATTTGATCTAGATTAATTTTCGAACTATCTTCGCCGATACTGACAAAGCTCATAGTGATATCGTTTTTGTAACATCGTTTGATGCCATCTAGTAGTGCTTCACAGAGACGGTTGATATCTGTGTGCATACCTTTAATTTTGCTGGAATTCTTTTTCCAATCGTGGATTAGGGATTCTGTGCTGCAGAAAATATAAATACTCAGAAGATGAGGAATATAATCCACGATAGGTATCATGTCTTGATCTTTAGGATTTGATAGAATGAGATATGCCTTTTGATCATTGATGTCAGTGAGAAAATCTATACCTTCATCGGATGTGGTGAAAATATATACTTGATCGGTCACGTGTTGCAGCTGTGTTAGTGTATTTTTACATTTTTCATTGTCTGGGTGGATGTTCTCGTCGATCCAGATAATTACATAGCTTTCAGTCATACATTGTGTTGGTTCCATAACACACGAGAATGTCGTTGCAGTTGTTACGGCATCCGTTATGGATGTAGAAAGCATTTCATTCTGCTTTTGCCCATCCATTTTGAAGTTATTTGCCACTTTATTACTAACCAAGAATGGAGAGAAGTTGTTTAAAATTTAGTCAGAAATATTTTTCTTCTATTGATCCGATAAGAGTTGTATTTCTTGACTTTTTTACAACATCAAATGTGGTTTTGTTTGTTGACGTTTAATTTGGAATTTAAGTAGTCGTAAAAGAAAATTTTGTTATAAAGAAAAAAAATGATAAGGTTATACAGTGTCGTAGTGCATTGTATTGCTGCTCTTCAGCGATTTAAAAAGAACCATTTTTCTCCCTGATAAGAACGAAAAAACAACACTGTTATGTGTGCTTTGATTGTTATCTTCTTTCTACAGATATTATAATCATCCAAAGGAAAAAATCACAAATAATATCAGTCTTCTTTTAGATCAGAATTGAAAACTTAATTTTCTGTTGGCTCAATATGCGATTTGATGCATTCTATTAGTTTTCAGGAAACTCTTTTTTTTGTGGACTTTATTTGGAACAGGGCATAATGGGCATAATGGACATAATGGGCATAAATTGGATTTCCAGAAAACTCCTTTTAAATCCTCGAAAAGAACCTACCACACGTCTCTAACAGCTCCTCCAAAACTATAAACAAAGCTCCACAGCGAAGTAATAATCACTAAACTGGTGTAAACCATTTTCCGTGCAGTCAGAGTCCACTTTCCACGATAACATTTGAACTTCCAAACAATACTTCTACAATTCCTCGAGTAGACCTCCAGTTTTCACAGCATCCACATGAACGTAGACGTGATTACATGTCTTCGGATAGTTTCCTCAAAAACTCAATTCAATACCGACGCAGAAGGTACAGTAGATAAAGAAGATGTAGGATATGAAGGAGATATAGAGATATCGGTGGCGGGATGTTCGCCAATAAGACTTTCGTCAATAAGACATTCATCAATGACGAAAGTCCTGGAGATATAGTGACGAAAGTACAGTGGGCTTTCGTCAATTGGCGAAGTTCCAGGAAATGTATTGGCGAAAGTGAGGTGGACTAACTCAGTTGTCACGGAACAATATTAATATAGGATATTTGTCAGCGCTGAAGTTAATGTTATTAGACTATATATATATATATCATAGTTTACACTCATCGATGTAGGTGAGAAAAACTTTTAGTGTACGTCTAATTTACAATGAAATTGCTGAAAGCTCACTGTACTTTCGCCAATTGGCAACAGTCCAGGAGTACATTGGCGAAAGTACGGAGAACTTTCGCCAGTTGGCGAAACTCCACGGAATGTATTGGCGAAATTCCATGAGATGTATTGGCGAAAGTACAATGGACTTTCTCCAATGGCGAAAGTCCTATTGGCGAAAGTCTTATTGGCGAAATTCCGGAACCCCAGAGATATAGGAGATATAGTAAACAGTTATTTATTTATTTTGATTGTTTCTTCCAGCAACCATCGATAAGTTGCATGAATATATCAGAATAGAACACTATTAAAAGTCAAGCGCTATTTACGGATTATCTGCACTGGTTACCTCATATCTTCTATATCCCTGTATGCCCTATATTCCTAAATCTCCTATGCCTCTACATCTCCTATATCTCCCATACCTTCTCCGTCGATATTTAATTGAGTTTCCGGGAAAACTGTCACAAAGCATCATATAGCAAGAATACGAGGTATCAGAGGATACCGCAGGTGCACAGTTCGTATTATTTGATGCTAGGGCTACTATAAAGCAGACACATCTATCCATGATTCCAAAAATAATCTCTCAATATTAAATATAGGGAAGACTACAGATCCGTCAAAGAAAAATTCCTCCATATATTTTCCAGAAAATGCAAGAATTCGTCTCCAAAACAACTCTGCATCCAACGAGTTGAAAACAAAACAAAAATAAAGTGCTCTATAATCCTTTGCCACATTTATCATGTGATTCCATGAGAGCTACATCAGCTTTAATCTTTCTAGACTTTCTGAATCGGGTTCCTCTTTTCAAAGCCACTAGGGTATGGCCAACACCGCGACAGTTCAACTAAACCATCCTCACGCGCTACAACTACTTTCACAACACAACTCCAAATATGATACGTATGTGAAAACATATCTGACCAATGTCTGACAAGCCAACCCGACACTCAACTACCAGGACGCTCTCGTGGACTTTACACAGTATCCATAGCATGCACACATGCTCAGGTGCCCTTTCCAACTGTTGTAAACCATCTCATCATTCCTCCCATATACAGATCAGCTGCAACCTTGTAGATCGCTTACCGAGTACTCCAATCACGAAACCCACAGAGCTCCCGAGGTAACGTGTCTTCTATTTTTCTCAATACTTCACGACCAATCGTTTCCTGGCCACTCCTTTCGCGACACCTACAGCAAGTGCGATGTGATGTGTCCTATTGTTCTCAGTTCTTTCGCGACCAGTCCTTTGGCGGCACCCGCAGCAGCTGCGATATGACGTGTGTCGTATTGTTCTCAGTCCTTTCTCGACGAGTCGTTTCGCGACCTATCGTTTCATGAATTGTTCTTCCATGATCCGTTCTTTCGTAGCACTCACAGCTGGGGAAGACACCTGAGTCGTTTTGTGGGATGCACAGCTTGACAGACGCGTGAGAGTCGTTTTGAGTCACCCACACCTTGGCGCACCCGCGCCGGCACCCACATCGACAGTCGACAATGTTTTTGGAAACCTCATTCTGCGTTTCCGTGGTATGATCTTTGTGTTTTCGGAAGTCGATTTTTCTTGGGTCGAGTTTTTTATTTTGGGAAAGCGAAAGTGTGTTTTTCGGAAATTCATTTTGGGTTTCCAGAAATGTTTCTAGTGCGGAAAGACAATTTGTTTTTCTGGAAACTCATTTGGTGCGGAAAGTCTATCGACTTTACTGGAAAGTAATATAAGGCATCATATGGTGGCTGTGGGTGTAGAGTGTGGGTAGCTCTTATATAGCTATCCACACCCGCTCGCTCACCCACATCCACACCCTAATCAAATGAAATCAATCATATAAACCTAACGCAAAATTCAATTTTCGGATATAGTATATCTTGAATTTCTACTACTCTTTCCGCTAATTCTTCATCTTGTTCCATATAACCTATAGTACATTCAAAGTTATTGTTCTCAAAATAACACATATATAGGGTGTGGATGTGGGTGTGTCTCACCGAAGGTAGAACACCCACACCCTCGATATGCGCTCTTTTGTTGGAGAGTCGCCTTCTCTCATTTGCGTTGGTACTGTCGTGAGCTGAAAAACCTTGCATTGGTTTGCGAGATCGGTACCCAAGAATATGCTGTGAGGAGTTATATCGATTGGTGCGACCTCGGAAATCCTGTTCGGGTTTTTCAGAAAAGGGATTTTTTTTTTACAAGGTACATGAGTATAACAATTTATAAACAGAGCTAATAACGTGCCTTTTGAATGCCGTCGAAAATTTAACCACGAAACTTTTTTTGATGTGAGAGTGTGAAGAATAGGGTAGCTATGATATAAATAACCCATACCCACAACCATGCCCGTACCTCACACCTCCGCACCCTACTGATTCACACCCGGTGACATTGTTTAAAAACAGTTCCAATAAAGTCTTCTTTGACCTGAAAAAGACCGTGTCCAGGTTTTTAGAAACCTTGTCATCATAGTTCACCTTTGAATATTTGAGATAGAATGTATCAGATAGAAAACTCCATTGGCTATTAAAATCTCTATCTGGATTTGAGCTAGATGCTTAACATTATTGAAAAAAATCTAAAATACGTTGAATTTCAACTTTTGCCCGCATGTCCTTCGAAAAAGTGCCTCTACCCTTCCAAAATTCTAGATCCGCCATTGTATCGTTTTGAAATAGACACTATGACGAGTCATTTCTTTCTTTTTTATGATCTTTGAGATATTCATTAGAAATACAATTTTTTGTTATCTTTTTTTGTGTAACATCATATTCTAACATGCTTCAACGACATCTTATCTATTCGTTTGTTTTTTTTCGTTCTTCGTAATGCTTATCAACACAAAACAATCTGTTTTTACTAAAGATGAAAATATTCAAATTCAAAATTCACAGATACAAATTAAAAAGATTATCTAAGTTCTCTCATAAGAGAAAAATAAATTCAATTTATTAGCAAATATATTCATCTATTATTAAGAAATCGAACTTAAAAAATTTCTATATGATCTTATACATACTTTTTTTCCCGTTTTTTATCCTACTTGAAAATTTCCACATTGAAATAACGATATTTTTTGAAGTGACATAGAGCATCTTTCTAATCAATGAAAAGTAAGCATGCTTATCAATATAATTAGAAATTTAACTTTTAATTTTTCAGACAATCAATTGTATATTTTATGTTTCGGTACAACGTTGATAAGTATTGTAATTCTTCTAAATTATTTTCAACAAAGAAAAAGAAAAAAACAAAATGAGAAACGGGTATGTTCATTTATTTAACTATTCATTGATTCTCATTATTGATATAGAAAAATGAATATTTAAAAAGTAAAACATTATTTGATTTCGAAGAATTAGCTAAGAAATCAATGATGTCACATCGTTTTTATTATTATGACTACAAAGCTGGTCAAGGACATACATATCAAGCATGTTGACATTATCTTGATAAACAATTAAGAATTATGCCAAGAGTTTTGATGGATGTTAGTGAAATTTCATTAAAAACAACTATATTTGTGTGAGAAACTATCGAAATATAAAAAGCTGCGATACTTCTATAGAGACAGATTTTTTCTAGTTTTTACTTCGTCACTATGAACTCAAAATACATTTGTCAACATTTATTATAGATCGATATATGAATCACCAATCCTAATTGCTACATCTGCTTGTCATTGTCTTGCTCATGTTGATGGTGAAGTTGCCACAGCTTGTGCTGCAACTGAAACTCAATGTATTTTTACTTACAATTGGACGTTTTCAAATATGCCAGAAGAAAAAGTTCTACAAACACTCGGTATATCCTTTTTTTTCTTTTCTATCTCATTTTCTTTTCAATGTACTTAATAATCTTAGGTACAAAATTTTTACATATTTATTTAACAACATCTATAGAAAAATAGTTCCACAAGCTGATAAAACAGGATATCGAGCAATTGTTATTACATGTGATCAACCACATGAGCGTATTCGAGATTTTGTATTACCATTATTTGAAGAAGCATCAAAGAATATTGATCCAGAATTAATCAAGAATATGTCAATACCAAATTTGAACATACCTTGCATAATTGTTAAGCAACGTTTTGGTATCGGTTCAGTAACATAGGCAAATATTGAATGATTAAGAAAATTGATACAATTACCAATTATTTGCAAAGGTATACTCTCACCAATTGATGCAGAATTAGTAATTAAATATGGAGCGAATGGAATTATTGTCAGGTCTGCTTTGTATATAATCAGTTAACTGAATATATCTTTTGCTACTATTCGTTTTAGTAACCATGGTAGTCGACTAATTGATACAGCGCCACCAGCTATTCAATGTCTAGAAGATGTCGTCAATGCTGTAGATGGACGTGCAGAAGGTAAGTTTGTTTTAATGACAATTGAAAAAAATCTAACAGATTTTTAAACTGTCTTCTGAAGATATCAAATCTTAGGCAGAATAAAGTTTTTTAAAACATCTCGACATAGTTAAGATGAGAAAAGTTATCTATCTGCTTCTTTTTTAAAAAGCCGTTGATTTGGGTTAAACTCTGTATATTGTTAGAGTAGCTCAAGCTCGCTAAATCTTCTAATTTGACCAGAACACTTCTGACCGAAAATCTCCTCATTTCAGGAGTTGATTTTTGTTTTTTTAATATTTGGCTGTTAGCAATATTTTGAACTAATAAAAGAATTCAAAGAAAAAGAGAACTATCGCAGTGTCTCAAAGATATAACAACCAACAAAAACACATTGCTTTTACATCCTTTTACTCAAACTAAAGTCATTAATTACAATTATATTAACTAATCTTATATAAAGTATTTGTTTAAACAGAGATAATAAGAAAATAATATTATATGTGTAATGTTTTGACGTACAAGGGTGGGATTATTATTGAAGTATCAAACTCATTAGATAAAAATCTTATGACAAAACTGAATGGCAAATCGATAAACGATGGTATTTCTATTTCATCAAAAAGGACTGCAAAATTAAAATTTACCATTTCATCATCACTAACAACAAATAAACGATATACCGAACATGCCAAAATAGTTTATTTTGCGAATATCTTTGCACAGAAAAATAATAAAATCTTGATCTTTTATTTTTCTTTTTAAAGATGCACCATGAGAAGCTCTGCAAAACTTACATTAACAAATCAATACTGGCATGTTCAAATGGTTTTTCCCATACGACAAATGTATAATCTACATAATAGTGCTACTTTTCACCATGTGGTACGTAATGAAAATGTATGGAAGATTTTTTTGTTTCGCACTAAAGATTTGTTCATACAGCTTTTATAGAGCTTTCGGTGATTCATCGTTAAAAAAAGCAAGATGTTATCGTTTTCTTTAGCCTAGACATACGCAAAATAATTTTTTTAAAAATCTTTCAAACATTTTTATTATACTCAACACGATGGGAAGTAGTACTATCATGTAAGTTGTACATTTTAAGTATGAGAAAAACCATCAGAGCGTGTCAGTAGAGATTGCTGCTTATACAATATTTGCGAAGTATTTCGCGGCGCCTTTTTTTAAAAAAAGATCAAGATTCTATCATTCACCTATGCTGAGATAAAAAATGTTGTAAATATTTTGGCACAGTCGATATAATTCAAATTTAAGAAAATTTTTTCACCATCAACTTGATATGTAAAAGAGAAAAGTGTACATAGGAATGAAACTTCGAATTTTTCTTACGAAAATCACCAAACGATTCTTTATTTATTTAGTATTTGTTGATACTGGTATTCGAAGTGGAACTGATGTGTTAAAAGCATTAGCATTAGGTGCACGAGCTGTTTTGATCAGTCGACCAATTTTATATGGATTGGCTTGTGGTGGACAAGATGGTGTTCGAAGAGTATTAGATATATTAAAACGTGAATTAGTTTATGATATGGCTTGTTGTGGATTAACATCGATTGATCAAATTAATAAAGATATTCTTTATAAACATTAATAGAAATAAAAGTGAAAGATAGGCATTTGAATTGAGTTTTCTTTATTTTATTCTTTTATTCCTTTTATGACGTTTTCACTTATTAAACAATTATTTGGGCGTGGATATGAAAAAGAAAATGCTTACGCCTAATTACATTCTCACACCCACGCCCCACTCCTTGTCGGTTCCTCTTTGCATCACTGCCTTGCCTAGAAAATATTTTTAAAAGAACCAAGTTAAAATTAAATCAAATACTATTTTTATTAAAGCATCAAGAAATAGCAAGTAGGATAATAACCACATGTCTATCTAACATTAGAAAACATATTCGAATCAGAATAGGAATTGTGAACATGATATGAGTTCTAGAAAAATTTCTACTAATTTTGTTTTTGTTGTATAATATGATAAAAGATAAAAAACAAATCTAATATGGTTTTTATCATGGGGAATTGAATTATTTGTACTATTGATACTTGTTGTTGAATAATTTCAACACATACTACTTTTACTGGTGTGACAAGAAACGACCTCGATTTAGGTTTATTGATAATGGAGGATGTGAAGTTCGCCAACCGTTGTACTCATTGTTGATGAGCACTCGTCTATTTTATTTCAATTCATTTTTAAAAGATAAAGAAAATAGCCAAACAAACCTGTAAACTTGCTCGATCGAGGTCATTCGATTTTGCTCAATTTAATATGTGTTGTAGGAGTGGGAGTTTCAAGAATTTTGATGCAAGTTGTTTGAAAAAAAATTGTTCTTCCATTCTTGAGATATTGAAATTTTTCGCAGGATACTATTCTGTAGTATTGAGAAAAAAATGAGCTTAAATAAATTGCACTATTGATTCACAAAATCGATATGATAAAACTCTTTGAATAATTTCTAAGCGAGCTTAGGTCAATTTCTTATGGAAAAGGGTTCATTGTTGAAGATTTTTCAATAAGTCTCCTAAAACCATTCTTTGAGATCGTACGTCAACTTTTTTTCATAACTCTGTAGTACTCAGTAGGTACTTTAAACCTACATGAGACTGACTTCTATAAATTTGATTTTGCTCTGGATCGGACTCTCTCGAGATCGCGATTTTAATCTAAATGAAGTTTTTGATGAAAGTCTCCTGAACGGTAGAAACTATCTAGAGAGCTGAATTTTTTAGAGGAATGAGAACTTATTGTGGCCAAAATTCTAGCTCTCTGGTTTTATCCGTTCATGAAATATGCAATGGCACAAAATATTTAAAAAATAACAATTTTGTCATGTACTTAGTAGTATTGATCAATTCATCATACAGTAAAAATCTCAAGTAAAAGACATGTATACTTGATGAGACATAGAAAATCACAAAAAATGCACGTTTTTTTTGGCGATGGTGACCTGAGAAAAATTTAAATATCTCGAGAACAGAACAATATTTTTTCAAACGCTTTGCGTCGAAATTGTAAGAACTCTTGCCTCGACAACATATATAAAATTAAGCAAACTCTGACGATGTCGATTGTGCAGAGTAGGTTGTGACTTATGTGGAATAGATCATATATATTATTGATAAATAAATGTTAGGATATAATATGTCGAATAAAATAATAACGGAGAATAAAGAAAATTGTTTTTAGTGAATAGTAATGTAAAAAGAGAAAAGAAATATAATAAAGAACATTTATTGGAATATATTATTGTTAAGACGGATTATTGTTGAATGAAGATAAATTCTGATTCGAAACAGCGATTTATTTTGTTTTTTTTTGTCGAATTTCATTGAAAATTTGATAATTAAATAATTGATCATATAAATATGTTTTGAAAAATGTTCTTTAGTTAATAATCAATAAAAATGTTCATTTTTTAATTTGTGCCACATATCAATTGATCGATTTGGCCATTTTATCATTAAGAACCAATGTTTCAAATAATCTCCACTTTCTGATTGACCTATTCGAAATCCACCTAGTATTAGAGAAATCTTATTTAGTTCTTTATTTTAAAACAAATAAATAAATAAATAAACATTCAATTCTTATCTCTTAACTTTTCAAAACAAAAGTATTATTTAATTGTTGAATTAAACTACCACTATTCAAATTTAATAAAATAAGACATTTAATAAGCAATGATTTACTCTAGTAAAAATGATTTATTTCTAATAAATAAACTTCAATATTAGAGTTCGAATTCTCATATTTGAGATCTAATTTGTTTCTATATTGAAGAAAAAAAACAAAGAAGTCGAGAGAGTTATTAATAAATAGATAAAATCTAGTTACCAATAAAATTGTCTTTTTTTCCAAAACCTTTATCATAAACAGTTATTTGTAATGTTTTTTTAATTAAATTTTTTAATTGAATATTTTTATAAATAAATTCTTGATTAAATTGTGGATTCAAAGTTTGTTTTTTAATATCTGTTTTAAAATTCAATTTGTTCGATAAATGATCAAATGAAAATAAACATAATTGACAATAAGGATTTGATTTACGATCAATATCAATTGGTGATAAATAACAAGCACGTTTTATTTTAACATGAAAATTTGATGTTTCATTTGAATACATAAGACTAATTAAAATTTTTCCACGTTCATTTATATCTTCATCATTTTCACACTAAAACAATTGTATTTCAATTTTTCAATATTTAATCGAACATATCTCAAAAAAAAACATTTAAATACTTTTTATTTTATCCAAATTTATTTCAATTATACTAATAAATTTTTACAATAACAAATCAATGCTATTTATCCAACATACGTTTCATTATATCTCCTATCCATTTCAAAATAGAAGGCGAGTCAAATAACTCGAGAACGAAAGCAACTATGGAGCTGCGATTTCCATCATTAAGAAGATATTTTGAAGATAACTTTTGGAACGCTTTTTTCGTTGGATTTTGATTGGTAGCTATAAGCATTTACCTGAGATCCTCGAAATCGACCAAGTGACGCGGAATCACCCTTAAAAGCATTACATTATAGATAATCGACCAGCTGAATCCAGTGGTGATGTTTGTTTTTTATTTCAAAGTACTCTGAGATCATTATACAAAACTTTTCGTAAATCTAGTTTTTGCTGCTATTTGATTTAAAGAACACGTATATTGAAAATCTCGATACAGTGATCTCAGAGTACTTTGAAACAAAAAACAAACATCATCACTGAATTCAGCGTGGTCATATTATCTATAATGTAACGCTTTTAAGTGTGATCCCACGTCACTTGGCCGATTTCGGAGATCTCAGGAAAATGCTTATAGCTACCGAACAGAGCAAGCTATCGAGCTTGGTCTTGTGTAGACCGAAAGAGAACAGTTTTTTCTATTGAATGATTTAATTCAAGTTCAAAATCCAACGAAAAAAACGTTCCAAAAGCTATCTTCAAAATGTCCAGCAGACTTTTATCCTATTGATCCATTACTAACCAATGAAATTTGTCCATAACTGCTTCCGTTCCCGAGTTATTCGACTCGTAATCACTCGCCTTCGATTTTGAAATGGATAGCAGCTAATCACAAAACGAATTAAAACAATAAATGAATATTGTAAAGATATATATATAATAAATACTTCAGTTTTATTTTGTAAATAAACCGAATAAATCTGATATTGATTAGATTGAATTGTTGATAATTTAAAACGATATTCACCAAGAAAGTGATTAACAGATGAATCTTTATCATAGACCAAGAATCTTTTTGTTTGGTTTTTTTAAAATTAAAAAACAACATTATTAGTTTTATTTCAATAAATATTATCTTACTTAACTGATTTATAATTGATATCATCTAATGATACACCATCATAAACAAGTGTTTCATTGATATCACCATTTATTCTTTTATCAATCGTACCACTTTCTAATTCAGTTGACTAATCATATTTAATAATGCATTTATCATCGAAAACAAATTTATCTTTATCCATTCATATATTTAATTTGAACATAAATTATTCATTTAAGAGTTTATTTAGATATTTTAATTAAAAATTTCATTTATTGACATATTAAAAGAGAAATTTTTACTTTATTTAGTTTTTCTAAAAATCTCTCTCGATACCTATTTATTTAGAGAAATTTATTTCGAGAAACGATAACATAAATAAAGTGCGATTGATATACTATATTGATAGAAACGCTAACAAATCAAAGTGAATATGTTTTTTTTAAAGAAAGTTGTTTCTGATAAACCCTCTTTTAAATGGTATGATATTAAAAAGTAAAAAATAAACTGAAGTTAAATTTACTTTGTGAATAGCTGGTAGAAGATCTAATTTAAGATAAATATGAGAATATTGATTTTGATTATTTGATCGAAGTTTGTCTAATCGTAATAATCTTATTATTAGTTTATATTCAGATTGTTTCCAAACAATTTCAAAATCTAATCTTCCAAATCCTTCAAATCAAATAAATATATTTATTAAAATAAATATGAAAAAAAAGAAAATTCGAACCACAATCTTCATTTATTGGTGATAATCTTATATAAGAATCTTTTGATGATTTAACTAATTCACATTTTGATAAATATGCATCAATTGAATCTTTAAAAAAAGATTTCTATTTTAACAAAAAAAAGACGAATGACTGAAATAAATGTCTATCTACTTGTTGAAGTTAGTTTATTAGTTTTAAATGAATAAATTCTTTTATTATCATCATCACATTTATTTATTTCATCTTGATTATCATTTAATTGTTTAAATTGATTTAAATTTTTATTATTATTAGTTGATATCACTAAATTAAAGCAAAATACTTTTCTTTTTTTTTAAATAAAACTATTTCGAGACAAACATTTTTTATTAAATCGATCTGTAATCGAATCATTATCTGAACTTGATTGATCAGATATCGATTGAGCATCACCTATAAACAATTATATATATATATATACCCTATATAAATAGTTGTTGACTAACTTGTTTTGATATATTGTGATGATTGAAATGATGAAGAGGAATTAATATCAAAGGTAACATTCGAAAGTTTAGGTAAAGAACGAAAAAACCCTGCA